TATTTCCAATGAGCTAACATTTCATCGTAAATTCTGCCTTTGAGGTAGAACGCACATAGTTTCGAGTGAAGTGATTGACCAGTGAACCAACATAAATGGACTACACGAGTATATGTTTTTGGAGGCTGGTATCACTCATCACCGCGGTCTATTTTCCTGTGTTATTCTATGCAGAACACTAGCAGCTCAAGTTGTGGTCGAATAGCAACAGTATACATAACCTCTGTTTCAGAAAACCAGAAGAGCGTCGAGTGCAGAACACACACCACAAGTGACGACGGCCTCCAAGTAAATCTGGTAACTAGTGATTCATAGTGATAGCTGATAGTTGGTAAATGATAGTTGTAATTAGTGACAACTGATAGAATACAACTGCAACAGGCTAATCATTGGCAGAAACATTACATTTTGTAGGAGGCCGTCGTCACTTGTGGTGTGTGGTCTGCACTCGACGCTCTTCTGTTTTTGAAGCAGAATAGCGAATTGATTACGAACCTGGATGAGGAATTCTCCTTCGTTGTGCAGTTTTGCACATAGTGAGTCGTTTGTGAGCTTGCCATGGTAAATCGGCTCGTTCAGCAGGCTTAGTTTCACCGCTTCAGCTAACGAAGGAGGGAACATCACTTCTTTTGTGAGTCGAATTGTTAAGTGAGAAGTTGTCAAGCTACTACTAAAAATAATTGTTATCTGGAAGAGTTTTGAAGGACTAAGACTTGCTGGAATCAAAGATGACTATTACACAATAGAGCTTGCATTCATGTGGAACTCATGAGAACATGGGAAACTAACATTGACACCCTTTCTCTGATAGAATTCATTGCCCTGGCTATGTAGATTTTACTAATATTTCTTCTGGTAGAAATATGCATCGGAAGCATGGCGGTTCTTTGAGGAGTTGATTAATACAGAGCCCTTTGAGGATTGAGCCCAACTCCCAGAACACTTGGAGCGTTTTTCTTCGTTAGCGGTAAAAATGATTGATCATATGAGTCAATTAACGAAGACTCCAGTGATCATAAAGGTTTCTGTGTACCGTAACAAGCCCTTTTCTGGCTTTTTTATAATAAAATTTTTCGTCCTGTCGGACTTTGCTAATGATGCTCATGCAAATTCTACTCCCCGGCCTTATCCCGTTCCATTTATGTAGACGGACAAACAGGGTAGGT